CTTTTATACAGCTGAATAAACAACTTTATAACTTAAACTGCAAAAAATATATCCGGTGTGGTTTTCTCCTTGTTAACTTCCATCTCGCGCTTGGCCGGAGCAGGAGAGGGAAGATAACAAGAACAAAAGAATTTGGTAATCTTGATTATGTATCTCTCAACAAAGTTTGTCACGACTTTGTCACATTCTTTTACTTAGAGGCTTATCTGTTTTTGACAAATGAGGTTACTGTTACACAATTAGTATCTTTCTGCTGGCTAACCTTACACAGCCAGCATTACAGCAAAGCTCTGTAAGCGTTACAACAGATCTTTTAGAAATTGGCATATATTAATAAGGTAATACATTGCATATGTGATGAATATTATACATATTAGATAAATTGTGAGGTTGTGAGGTTCATCTAGAGGTCAGCTTTGGTTCAGGGCCTCACCACTCAGGCCCTAGTATTTCACTCATGTGTGTACAGACGTGCCCTGAGGCTGCTTGGTCCTGCCAGAGGGGGGACCCCCATCTGCAGGAGGAGACGGGGCAGCTGAGGGGTGATGGCACCCCACCGAGCTGCTGCTGGGAATATGCTGGGTCCCAGGGCAGAGGGAAACGGGTGGGTTTTTTCCACCAAATAAATCCACCCCACATCCTGGCTCATGGAAACCTGGCCCTGGAGCAAGTATGTGTCACACCCAGGGGGGGCAGAGCCAGCCCCCGTGTTTGCTCCCCGGGGCTCAGATCCTCTCTGCTGCTTCCAAATTCGCACTCTCCGTCCTGGGAAACTTCGGTTGTGGTTTGAGGGGTTTTTTATCCTCCCAAGGCTTTAAAGGTCTTGTTATATTACCACTGGGTTTTGCCAGCAATCAGAGAGGACATGCTGGATGCAAGCGTGGGTTTCTCTGGTTTTATTGATCAAGTTTTCTCTTTGGGAACTTCTCAGACTCACAGAGATGATGGGATACTCCAGTATCAGCTGTGGAGTCTGAGCGCTACCTCCAAGCCATCCATTTCCATGCACGGAGCATCAAGAACGGATGTAGCCCCAAATTTCCTTCTAGAGAAATCTCAAGAAAAAATTTGTTCTAGATTTTTCTTACTATTTTTCTTGGTCAATTTAAATATTTTTTAGGTTGAGAATCAGTTTGAAATTAACTTCAAGGTGTGCAAGACAAAAATATTCATTTTTTCAGTTAGAAGCTGGAGTTTTAAAAAAAAAAAAATTGTTTCTGGCTCCTTCTAGCCTGTTTTACTGCTCTAGGTCTTTCTTGACAGATAATTTAAATACTCCCTGAAAATATTAATGAAATAGTGAATAAAAAATAAGAGGGGGAGTTTAAACTGCCTTCCTCCCGTTAGGTGGATAACAACTGCAGGGAACAGGGATGGAGAAGAGTTGATGTCTTTTAATTCTGTGATTCTGTGATTCTGTGAACAGGGATGGAGAAGAGTTAATGTCTTTTATAAAGAATGATAATCCTCGGACTCTGGGTGGCTGTATTAGTAAGTTGTTATAGACGCAGTTGCTTGTAAAAAGATTTTTAATGGCAGAGGCTAGTGGTGATGCCTCACGACCCAAGTGCTCCCCAGTGACAGTCACCTGTGATGCCAGCTCCTCCTCGGCAGCCCACATGCATGCTGCTTTGCTGACGCAGGCCGGTTAATTTTGGCTCCAAAAACAAGCGATAAATAGAAAGAAGACAATTTAAAACCATGTTTTGTTTGGTTTTGATTCGGAACAATAGCAACCCTGCACCACGCCTGGCTGCTCCCCTCCCTGCATCGCTCCTGCCACAAGCAGCCCTCCCACGGTCCCTAGGGGGGGCACGCCCCATGCACCCCCTCTCTGTCCCCCCAAAGCACCCCCCAGGGACATGGGGGAAAGCTCAGACCTCAGAGCCAGCACACACTGCCACAGCGGTGGGATGTTTTCTGGTATCACCTGTAGAGCCAGATACCTCCCCCCTTCTATCAGTCATCAGCTGAGTTATCAATAAAAATCAAATATTATTTGTGACAGCAATCAGAAGCTTTTGCAAACAGCAGCCCTAACTCGAATCCTCCTGTGCTTTTAAGACAATGGTGTCTTACTGACGTTAACCTATTTAATATCAGTAATAAAAATTAAATAAAATTTTAAAAAAACGTAATCAGGAACTGCAGTCCTGTGAAGTGCTCAGCAAATGGTGAGCAACACAAACAGCACTGAACACCCTGGCAATTAGTGTATTAAAAACTTCTGCTTTCATTCTTGCTGTGGAACTGTCCAGTTCTCTTCAAGAAACCAAATACCATGAAGCTTTACTCTTCAGAATTCTTTCTCTTCCTTTTCTACTCCAGAAATTGCAGCTTCTAAAGCAACTGTAGGTGCCCCTTGAGACACCCAACACAAGCAGCCTGCTTCAGTGTTCTTTGCAAGTCATCCCAAATTAGAATGTCAAAATTAACCCACATTGTCACAGTATTTTCCTCTTTACATTTTATTTTATAATGACAATATTGTGTTAGTAATGAAAACGGACCATTGTGCGTCCTTCAGCAACACAACGAAGGTGGTTCCAGTTGTAAACATAAATAATAAATAAGAAAACAGCAAAAATCTCCCTGTAAACGCAGCCAGGACCCACCGAGGCTTGGAGGTAGAACCGGGATGGGGACAGTGGATGAGGACTGGGAATAACATCCCCAAACTGGTCCTCGCTCCCTCGCTCTGCTCAAACAGCCATGAAAAGCCTGAGCAATCCTGTGCTCCGGCAATGCTGGCGGGGGGTTCCCTTGGCCAGAAGTGGGTACCAGCGGGATGAGGACCTCCAGGTTTGGTCTGTAGGGATAAATGGAGGCACACGAGGGAGCCCCAGGCTGTATCCATAGGAAACGATGCTAGTGGCACATTCCCCATACCCCAGCACACGGCACTGGTGGGTTCCCCATTGCCCGCCCACGCGGCTGCTGGCACCGTTGCTGCTGAACGGGATGCACAGCTTTTTTTGGGTTGGCTGCGGGATGCAGAAATCCCAGCTCAGCGGGGCTTGCTGAAGAGCTCAGCCCCCAGGTCAGAGCTGATAAAATGCCCCGCTGCCCCCCCGAGATTCCAAATTCACGGCATGCATCGCTGTTTCACGTGGCTCCCTGGGTTTCCTGTAAAGTGCTGTGGCTGCAGACTGGTTTCACTGGCCAAGGGAACACCAAGCCCAACCTTAAACCAGAGGAAAGCCCCAGGTTCCCTCTCCCACATGTAAAAAATGAGTTTCCAATAGGATCACACTCCAAAGTACCTGTTTTTCTCTGTCTAGGACAAAGTGCAAGTCTATATGCCAAGATGCTGTCTGCAAAGCTGTATTTAAGGGGAGAAAGAAACCAGCACAGACTGCAAAGCATCCTTTTACTGCCATCAATGGTCCTCCGACCTAACAGGAAACCTGCTTCTTTCAGCCCCTCAAGCAGCCCTGCCAGACCGCAGCTCTCGCCGCTGCTGCTGTTCTCGTACCTTGCTCTGTGGTCGTGTTATAGATCTGCCTGGTCATCGCTCTGAAGTTATTATACAGAAAAGGTGGGAGGCATGCTAAGTGCTACAGTATCTAAAATAATTTAATTTCCGAGCTCCTCGGAGCAAGGGATGTGTGTACACTTTGAGTAGTGATCTTCTAATAAATATATCTATGTATAATAATAATAATGATAAAATAAATAACAATAATAGTCATAATAAAGCTATGCACGTGCCCTAAGATTAGGTGCAATCTAAAGGTCACGTAGCTTAAGCCAGGGATAAAAACATCACTGCTAGGGATATGCTGCACTGGAAGAAGGCATAAAGCTTTGCTGCAGAGCATGCGTAGGAAACGGCAGAATAAGGATCTCGGGATCAGGAGAAGGCTGAAAATGCCCCATAGCCTTTGGATTTTTATTCTGGCCGTTCCCCCCCAGAAGCAGCCCTGCGGGCAGGTCTGGGGTGCTTGCCCCGGGCAATCACAGGCTCCTGCGCTCGTGCGCTGGCTCTGCAGCCGGCGGCTGATGCTGCAGGTCAGAGGCAGGGTCCTGAGCGCGGGCGGGAGCTCTCTGCTTACGGATGCTCAGGGAAATCCAGTCTTTTTTTGCCTGAGCTTGCAGCTCAAATCCGACCTCCTTCTGTCCCCGTGGCAGTGCAGGTCTCTGGCCGTGCTGCAAGGGGAGGCATTGTGCGCACGTCGGCATCCCAGCC